GCTGCTCTGTGTCCTCTCCTTCATTTTCACCAAAAATATGATGCAGAACTTGGCTCACTGTGAATCTTCTTCTCATTTTTGTATGCTGCAAATTGTAAATGTGCACTCTGGAAGTCAAATGGCCACTCAAATGAGTGAATTCTTGACATGTCCCGTCTTTATTTTGTTTTGTTTTTGTGTAGGTATACTGCAAAAAACATGCAAAATAAGAATCCCCTAAAGCTCATATGATTAGGAGAGGAGCTTGCTGTCAATGTTTTAGCTGACAGTGCACTTATGATTTCAATTTTGGCTTTAATTATTGCTTTATACTCATAATATTATACCTGGGTCGAAACCGACCCTAACAACACAAAGGTCATAATTTCAACTAGGGCATTTTATAATTTACTGAAAATATTTTTTTTTTGTTTTATTTTGTAGAAATAGAGGTTCCTGACAAAGTCAAAAAGCCTTGATACAATAAACAAATGTTTGTGATTTTTTTTATGCATTTGAAATTTAAAATGGGTCGGTGCCAACCCTAACACGAGAGGAAGGTTATATAGCTAAATTCACAATGGTATAACCGTGCTAAATAAAAGACGCCCAAGCACCAATGCACTCTAATACAAGCCTCTAAACTGTATGTTGATAAGTGCATGAAGTATACCTCTACCTCTACAGCTGAAAACAGTCTGTATCCATACTTTAGGGATCTGCTGAATTGTTTTTAATGGCACTTTTTTTGACGAACTGCAGATGATGAATTCCTCTTTATTGGAGAAACTGTCCCTAAGCTATTGTTGCTCATACTTACTGAGTTCCCTAGCTACTTCCTTACTATGTCAGTAAACTTTTTGAACAATAAAAGGTATGGTAGATTTAAAGACACATTTTAATTGAAGCAAAGAAAAAATTGGAATGAATTTTATGTGACTGTTCATATTAAATCCAACAATGAGTGAAAATCCAAAACCTGCTGCAATCCTTTGTATTAATGACCTCTCTCTCTCTCCCCCTTCTGTGCGTGTGTGTGTGTGCGCGTGTGCTCGCAGAAGGAAGGTCATGGCTCCTGCTTTTTTTTAATGCATTTCCAATCAATTTTTTTTTTACAAGTGTAGCTCATACAATGGTATAAATGTATTCTTTGCGATACTTTATAAATATGAAACTCTTAAGATTTTGAGTTCATGCACATTGTGAAACAAGAATCTAAATATTTGTGTCACAATGATTTCTATAAAAGCATGTTGTTTATGGGCATAATGTAACAAATCTTTTGTGATTCTATTAATGATCAATGGTAATTGAAGAGGAAGCTTGAACCCTGGCTCAGGACATTTTCATGACAAGTGTCAGCGCAGACATCTACTAACGAGAGAACATGTTTTATCATCATAAACACTGTGATATGAAGCATCGTTAAAGTGTCACTTCAGTAATGTTGACTCATGTTTTTTAATATATGACTTTAAAACACTAAACTCTAATTTCAGTGGTTATTTTAAGTTTACAGAATATAACATGTGGTAAGACGACGAGTTTTACTTCTCACTGTCCGTGTTATGTGTATCTATTTATCATGTATGCTACTTTGCTCTGTGGACTGTAAAATGTTTCATTGTGTTCATGAAATAAACCAGACTTTCACTGTCTGCATCTTTTACTGTTTTTCTGCTTTTGTTCACTCCAAGTTTGACAAAACCTACAGACATCCAGAGTTAACTCACTAACAATGTGGAGCAGTCTCAGTGTATTTAGCTGCTTTTTTCCCTAAACACAACCAACTGAGAGAAACGCTTGTAGTCCTCACTTTGGTTATTTTGAATGTTGAAGGAGATTTGTTCCATAGACACCTTATACTAGTGTTTCCTGCACTTAATCCATCACTACTATTTTCTATTTAAATCCAGATTCATTTTATAGTTTGCAGTGAAATTTGTTAAACCATTGCTTAATGGGACAGAAGTACAAGTCACTCTTTACTAACACATTTGTAGATAAGTTTATTGCTGAACGACACAGCTAGCAGTCTCACACACTCTTTAGGTTTTTGAAGTTTTGTGTGTAACGGTTTAGTCTGTCAAACCTTACCCGTTTCTCCCCAGTATCACAACAGTATGACTCCCAAAGTACGGCTCAGTAAACTACCTATGATTCTAAAGCCAGAATAGAAAGATACAGTTGGAAGATGAATGATTGCGTTTTTATGATGCATAGTAAAACTACCCCCTCTTCTTCTTCTCTGTGTTGTTGTTCTTGTGTGTGTGTGTGTGTGTGTGTGTGTGTGTCTATGCTTTAGAAGTCAAATAAGACATTAGCCATACTTAAAAAAAAAAAAAACCCATCTGAATTTCATTTAGAACTGAGATTCTAAGTTGTAAGCAGAAATCTTATGCTCAGCCAGAAGCATGTTTCCCCACTTTCACAATGCTGAGGTGACAAATCCACAACCCCCAACAGATGGTTTGTTACACGCGGGTGTGAAGGGCAAGCTTTACTTACACAGCCTCACACACAGTAGATTTTTAAAGTTTTTGGGTACAGTGGTTTAGCCACAAATGTAACTTCCACTTTGATAATGATCACTCCACCTGCATATTTCTTTAAATGAAGCATCTTTATTAAGCTCCTATTTATAAATGTCTACACAATAATAGACACCGTGTGCTCTGTGACATTATAGTCTTCTACTTCTGCTTCCATTGGTTTGCATTTTAAACTACCAACCTTTCAGGTTGTTATGAACAACTTATATTTCTAACATTTTGTGATGTAAAAGTGAACCATGTGGCTTTTTTAAATTTTCTGACTATCCTTGAAACCAGTGGCACGCTCAATTAAATCCTGAGGCTTCAATCTAGTATAATCTACTGACAGGACTCGTCTATCCTTTGGTCCCTGTTCCTCTGGTGCCACCTCCAACGACTCGTTTCCCCCTTGTCCTGTAAAATCCGTGACAGAGTTTAATGGATTGGTAGTCATGTGTGTTATCGTTTCTTCTCTAACTGGCTTTATGGGATTGGCCTTTTCAAGAAAATTAACCTTAATTAACCCCTTTGGATCAGTTCCTTGGGTCTCCACACCCAAAACTAAATATACAGGTTTTTGACGATGCCAGTTTCCCAATGACAGAGTCAACAGATTCTGAAATGGACTATAGTCCCATTGAAGTTTTAGCTCGTTCTCTGGTCCTTGTTCTGACGGTTCCCAATTTTCCCCAGTGTAGCCCTTTACATGATTCCAGTTCCGACACCAGTTGTCATAAGGCCGACTTCCCCTTCACAATGTGTACTCACCGAATAGTCCCAACAAACCCACACATTATATTCTCTCCAGCTACTGCTTGCTTCCTTACAATTAATGATGTCACACAAATCAAACGTAAATGAGTTGGTGGACCCTTTAACGTAATTCAATTCTATGCCATTGTATGCGCTGAGACACTCATCCCCTTTACCTAACACCTCGCGCTTTGGTCTTTTCAATGACCCTGTTTTAGCAACTACTGTCTCAGGAAGTGCTGTGCTGGACTGGCATCCGCGTTCGACCAATTCACAAAATGCGCTCTGCAAAAGATAAACAAGAAAACACGCGACCACAGTCATTATTAATACACATAGGATACGTGGAATCAAAATCAATATTGCAATACACCTCCTGTCTCTGCGCCCCTGAGGTTTGGGCGTTTCCATTATGTTTTGTGGATTTTAGCTTTAGCATACACTTTCACTCCTTCTAACGTTCTTTCAATTTGTTACCGCTCCTTTTTGGTGGTGCGGCAACCTTCTGCGATGCTCTTCTTCTTTCTTTGGCCTCCCAGGTGGACTACTGGTCGGCCCGTTGCACAGTTGAGAGGATTTATTCTGCCTCTTTTTGTTGACACCCGTGTTAGTTGAAGACGAGTTTTCCTCTATCAAGCTCTCGTGTGCAGGTGCACACTGCGAGCAGTGGTACCAGGTGTCGCCTTTCCCTTTCAGTGTAACTGCTGTAGTCGTTCTGGCAATGACCTCGTAAGGACCAGTCCAGCGTGGTTCCTTCCACTTCCGTTTGAGCACCTTCAGCCACACCACCTTTGCCTCCGGGGTCGCCCTGTCCAGAGCATGTACTCCAGAGGTGACCTGTTTTGTGAAACTGGAGACAAGAGCTTTTAGTTCATTCCAGTATTCTGCATGAGACCTTTCATTCCTGGTGCTCGGTTCCACCGGGACCTCGGTCCAGGGTGCTGGGAACGGCCTTCCCGTCTGCAGCTCATGGGGCGTGAAGCCTGTGGATTGATTAACAGAACATCTTATAGTCATTAGAGCAATTGGCAGAGCTGAGATCCAATTTAGCCCTGTCTGCGCACAGATTTTAGATAATTTGTTTTTCAAATTTAAGTTCATTCTCTCTACCTTCCCTTGAGATTGAGGATGGTACACTGTTCCAAACCTGTGTTTTACTCCCAGCATCCTCTCCACTTCCGCCAGGTGTTGGTTTTTAAAGTGGGTTCCATTGTCTGATCTAATGCGCCGTGGAAACCCATGCCTAGGGATGTAATGATTAATTAAACACTTAATCACACTTTTGGCATCCTTCCTCTTAGTAGCCCATGCTTCTGGCCAGCTGGTCAGAGCATCTACACACACCAACAAATACCTCACTCCCCCAGGCCCCACATCAATCATGTCAGTAAAATCAATAACAATTTCTTCCCCTGGTCTTTCGGGCAGGAGAAACTTACCTGCTTCCGGCTTTACCATGGATCGTGTGCTCCACAGATTAAGCACGTTCAGGCTTTTTCTTTACATGGCTGTTAGATCTTGATGCCACCAGTGACACAAATTTCTCTCCATCTGTGCCACTCCCACGTGGCCAAGCCCGTGTTATCTTCTGTCTGGCCAGTTTATCAGTTAAAACTGGTCTTCCATCGGCTCCTCTCCAAATACCACCTTCTTTCCAGGCTCCTTTGCTCTGCCACACCCCTTTTTCCTACAGAGATGCCTCCTCCTGAGCCTGTCTGGCTTCCTCCAACATACTGATGCCTGCTTCTTCTTCAGCAATCACCTGCACCATTTGCTGTCGTCCTTTATAGCCTGCTGCTTCCTTTGCGGCTTCGTCCGCTTTCTGATTTCCTTTTGCAACCATGGTGTCTGCCTGAGAGTGTCCTTTACATTTAATAATGCTCACCTCATTTGGGTCATGCAGGGCCCTCTCCAGTTCCTCCATTTCCTTCCTATGGCAAATAGGAGCATTTGTTGCCATTCTGAACCCCGCTCTTTTCCATTGAGCGAGCTCCACGTGGGCTGCTCCAAAAGCATGTCTTTGGCCAGTCTCAAGGCCCGACTTAGTGCAATTACTTCTGCTCTCTGAGCAGACTGTTGTCCTTCGATTCTTCCTGCTTTTTTGACCTCAAATTCAGTTCCTTGTTTACAGACTATAGCGTAGCCTGCTTTCAACCCTTCTTCATCATGATGACAGCAGCCATCTGTGAACCAGTCCTCAGCTTCAGGAATGGGTTCTGCTTTTAAGTCTTCCCTGACTTTCCCTTCAACTTCTGCTTTCTTAACACAGTCATGGGATTCTCCTGATCCCATTAAATCTGCCATATTGATTCCTTCATGTGTAAATGTCAGATTTGGACCCTCCAGAACCTTACTCAATCTCTGTTGTGTCAGTGGTGTCATAGTGAATGCTTGTGAGTTCACATATGCCACCACGCTGTGTGTGGTAAGAACTTTTAATGGGTGTTCTCTCACTACATGTGCTGTTTTCTGTATTATTTTAGCGACCCCTGCTGCATGCTGTGTACATGTAGGATGTTTCGCTTCTGTTGGGTTCAATCTTATGCTGACATACATGAGTACCTGTCTTCCTCCCTCTTTTTTCTGAAACAACACACCGTATATGATTCCGTGTGTTTCAGAAATATCTGAATAGAATGGTTCCTCATAATTGGGCGTCGACAGATCAGAGGCTCTTGACAAGTCTTGTTTTAATGAAATGAACGCAGTTTCAGTGTTGGACGTCCATGGCAGTTCAGCCTTAAGATTTCGAACGCCCACCTGTCTGATCAGGTCCCGTAAGGAGGCCATCTTACCTGCATAGTTTGGAATGAACTGTCTGCTGTAGCCCATCAGGCCAAGAAAAGAAAGGAGCTCTTTCACTGGTCTCGGTTTTGGGTGTGTCAAAATTTGGTCTCTGTGTCTGTTCATTAGTCCCAATGATTTATGTGCGATTACACGGCCCAGAAATGTGACGTCTGGTTGAACCAACTGTAATTTTTCTTTACTTGCTTTGAAACCACATTCAGCCAGTCTTTTGAGCACTGCGAGCGATGCTGCTGTACAGGCCGCTGCCGAAGGAGCCGCAATGAGCAAGTTATCTACATATTGTATTAGTGTACACCCCTCAGGCAACTGACAAGGTGACAGGGCCTCTTTGAGCACCTGATTGAAAATGCTGGGGGACAGGGCAAAGCCTTGTGGCAGGCGTGTGTATCTGAATTTGCGACCTCTGTATGTGAATGAAAAGATGTTACAAGATGTTATAATCTATCCAAAGGCTCTTTGCAATTTTACATTCATAAACATTATCCTTAACATATTTGACCCACATAAAGTACGATGGCCATCACACTGTCATTTAGAATTGTTTAAATAACTCGTATCTTAAGTCATTCCATTTATGGCTTGATTGGGTGGCTCAAAATGCTAAAGAACAACATGTATCTGATTGTGTTGCCTGTGCTTCAGCTAGACCCCGTTTGTTCACGCAGCCCACACCACTGTATCCAGAGGATAAGTGGGGCTACGATTGTATGCTGCAGCTAACTAGAGGTGCAGTGAGTACTGGCAACTGCACTCTGTTGTCCAGACTTTTCCCTCTCATTTCAAAACAGACAACAGTGGGACCATTTATGACAAAACAAGATAATTATACATGTTTTAAGTTCTCTACAGATAAGGTAAAGTACAAGGTGGGAGATATCGACCCAAGTTGGTGTGCTGTCACACGCACGGGAAGAACCACGAATAATGTAAGTGACCCCAGTACATTGATTGGAACATGGGCAAGAAGTGGGTTGTATTATTATTGTGGGCAGATCACTCTTTTGGTTCAGGTTCCTCTGGGAAGCGTAGGGACATGTGCGATGGTGCGGCTGGGAGCTCCACTCATACTCATTGGAAATCAGGTAAAAGCCATACCACAATCCAATACATGCACTTTAGCTGCCAAACATAAGAGACACATTTTGGCAAAAAGAGGGACCCAGGGGACGCATGTTTACGACCCTAGATTCAATTCACCCAACTGGATTGACTCCATAGGAGTGCCCAGGGGAGTTCCAAATGAGTATAAACTAGCAGACCAAGTTGCTTCAGGATTTGAAAGTATATTCCTATGGGTAACTCCAAACAAGAATGTTGATCGTATAAATTTTGTTCACTATAATTTGCTGAGACTCTCTAACCTAACCAGAGACGGCATGGAGGGGTTTGCGGAAAAAGCTGGGTCCGACCTCGCTGATGAGAGTGCAAAATCGAATGGCCCTTGACATGTTGTTGGCGGAGAAAAGGGGCGTCTGTGCTATGTTCGGAGACATGTGCTGCACCTTTATCCCTAATAATACTGCCCCAGATGGCTCAGTAACCCGAGCTCTGGAGGGTCTGAAAACTCTGTCTAGAACCATGCATGAGCACTCAGGTATCGAAAAACCACTGGAGAGCTGGATGGCATTCGTTTTTGGACGGTGGAAAGGTTTGGCCATGTCAGTAATGTTTTCACTCGCTACACTTTCAGGGATACTGGTCACCTGTGGTTGTTGTCTCATTCCTTGTGCCAGAGGATTGTTGGTAAAGGTTTTGGCAAGGGCAGTGGACCCCGGAGCAGTCGTTCCGGTGTTCCAGTGTCCATTAAGAAACTTAGATGCCATGGAGTGGGCCGAGGAGTGATACAACATGAGGTGTGGTGGCATTCCTTTTTGGAATGTCAAAAGAGGGAATGTGGAGATACAGAAATTCTTTTATTGCTGCCATATAACCTGCATCATTATAATAGCATTAATAACATTCTTTACAGCATTATTTCATTTAATAATATTTCTCACAGTATTGATATTGCATTAAAGTTGTTTATTGAAGATGTTCATTTGAGGATCCTTCCATTATGTTAACTTTTATTACAGGTACGGCCAGAAGTATTTCATACACATTGCATAGTATTTGTGCTCATTAAGAGTTGTTGCTTAGTCTACAGAGGGTCTTAAGCTTTGTGAAGCGCGACGTCTTCACAATCTATTGTGTTAAAGACTAGAGCATAGAGGGATAACTGCAATACATGCTTACAATACACATATAATCTAAAAATGTGCCAGGCCTGAGGCCTTAACTCATTTGGCTTCTAACTGCATCTTAGTCTACTTGGTAACAGATGACTGGAGTCAATAACAAGCCCTCAGAGACCCTGAAGGCTTGAAGTTATTACCTTGTTTGGAAGGTGTTATAGAAATGAGAAGTTCTATGTCTGTTTATAGCCATCTAAGATGTACCATTTACTGTAGCTAACGTCTTTAACCTAGTTTTATGCCTTGGAGGGGCTGATACCTCACTGCTTTAAAAGTGTTCACAACATGTATTTTTGTCAGAAGACATATGCTGATGTTTTCTCTCCTGTGTGGTAATAAACTCATCGTTTGACTGCACTCTTCTCGGCCTCCGTGGTTTGTGTCACTGCTCTACATTGATTGATTCCGCAACAACAGTTACCTCAGAACCTGTACTGTCAGACTTATGCATGTAAGGTAAAACTTTCCACAGTACTTCTACTTAAGTAACTAAACACATAAAGTCACCCTTACCAATAATCGACTGCTCCTTGAAAAAAGTAGCACAATCAGACAACTGACTCAGCAATGATAAGTAGAGCTACCCGAGGCCAATACTCAAGCGGAAGAAAACTAAAAGTTTTGGTTTTTGTGGCTCAAAAAATTAAAGAAAGTATGTTTAATAATAAGACCCCAATGAAAAAAACATCGAGGGAACAGTTTACCCTGCCCGGGATAGGGTTACCGGGGCCCCGCCCTGGAGCCAGGCCCGGGGAGGGTGCCCGAGGGCGAGCG